ACATGGATGACAAATTTATATATTACAATACATTAAATAAATATGTTATATATTTTTTGTACAGCTGTTGCATGTATAACGTACTGTATAATATATATAAATATTATATATAAGCATAATATATATAAATATATTTATTTATAAGTATAATAATTTAGAATAAAAATAATTTTTTTATTAATTAAATAATTTTTTAATACATTCATAAGTTAATAATTGTTTTAATTGCATTGCAAACACTGCAATTTTTGGGCTTTTGTTGAAAAATGTGTATAATATACATTAATATATAATATACACTTAATATTTTCCACAAAAGCAAAGTACATCATTTAATTGTTATTTGCAAATAAAACAATCGTAACCTAACCTATAATCTAATATCCTGTAACCTAGATCGTAATCTAATCTAATCTAAAAAAAAGCAAAAATCATACTAGTATAATGCTAATATCGAAAAGATTTGCGTACTAGCATAATGCCAATATTTTGAAATGCAAAATGCTTGCACAATGTTTGTACAACATATTGGACACGATATGCTGTCACTGTGCTTACTAGATGCAGAGTCAGCTGGACGTCACAGTGACAGCATGCCATTGCAAGTGTGCATGCATTATGCCAGCATCCTGCAAACATTTTGTTATCTGAATATATAGTTTGTTGCCTTTCTGCAATCAAAAATTGATAGCAGGTTTATTCGTATGCACGTGACCGGACAAAACCTCCGGTTGTAAAAATTATCATTTTAAATCGTTTGTATTTCGTATGAAGAGTTATGAAGTACCATTAAAAACATTTGTGAGTCATCCAGACATTTTTAATTAAATATTAAAATATTATGTATTTGACCAAAATATAGATATAAGCGCTACGGTCACGAAAATTCCATTAGACACGATAGGTAGTTTCTCTAGTATTTTGATATTCCAGGACGTATTATGGAATTGCTTGGAATTCTGAATTATTTAGTTTTCTTACAGTTTCTTTAAAAAAACACAATAGAAATATAGGAAATAATTTAATTATTTTGATTGGAATCCATTTCGAATAATTCCATTATACGTTTTTTTGGTTATTCTGATTAACAAGAGTTATTCGATCAACAAGATGGAGATGAGTAACTAACACTGTAAGACAAAATTCTTTGCATCATTCTATGTAATAAACCTCAAATGCTATTGTCATAGGATTTAATTGTACCAGGTTTTGAAACATAATACAAAAATTAGAAATTGTTTTATTGTATTATAGGTCACTTAACCGTCACTCCTTCAGTATTGTGGAGTGTCTGAACGTAACGTTTTAATTTTATATATAATTTAACAAAACTGACATCAGATAAAGATATCATCAAGCATAATTATGAGATAAGACGTATGCAACTATGTTCTCCATTAACTAAAAAATGCAATAATCAAGATGACTATGCAATATGTCTAATAAAAAAAAAACAATACAGAAATAGGAACAGGTAATGCTGTACAGTTTCAATTATATTTTTATATATTGAAGTATATTATCGTAAGTCTGATAAAGGAATTAATTTTTTTATATAAACAGGAAGGTTTGCTCCAAAATTAAATAATGAACAAAGAGTTTTGTTCAATTTTACTGTTGATGATTGTCTACATGGAATCGATCATATGGTGACAGTTATGTATTGTGATACAGAGATTAATTCATATCCTGAAACTTGTACAGTTGCAAATATTATATTTACATTATAATAATTTACATTATATTAATTTTAATATAAAATCTGCTTGTTGATACCTACCTATTAAGTTTTTTAGGATCGTCTAAGCATGCTCCAGATTTAATTGGATACATGAGACCATAAAGAAGTAGTATAGATATAGAATATAGACTGGCACACATGTAATATTATTTTAGGTGATTTGAAGAATTTTGTTTTATTTTTTATACGCAAAGGAATCACATAATTTTCTGAAGCTCCTGTTAAAGGACTTAGATCATAATAATGTCCAGCGTTAGCAATTGTACAATTTGTTTGGATTCTAGTACACAAGTTAATACAATCTTCCATACTGTAAATAAATTACATTGTTGGTCACCCTAAATATTTTTATTCATATACCACTTGATATAAATATATTTTTAAAAAATTCTTTACATGCGAAAATAATTCAAGATATGAATTAATTTTTGCATCATAATCACAATGCATAACTGTCACCGTCGATTCCATATAGACAATCATTACCAGTAAAATTAAACAAAATTCTTTTTTGTTCGTTATCTAATTTTGGAGGAAATTTTCCTGTTTTATATAAAAAGATTAATTCCTTTATCAGACTTACGATAATATACTTCAATATATAAAAATATAATTGAAACTGTACAGCATTACCTGTTCCTATTTTTGTATTGTTTTTGTTTATTAGATAGTCATATTGCATAGTCATCTTGATTATTGCATTTTTTAATTAATGGAGAACATAATTGCATACGTCTTATCTCATAATTATGCTTGATGATATCTTCTTTATCTGATGTCAGTTTTGTTAAATTATATATAAAATTAAAACTTAACTTTCGTTCAGATACTTCACAATATTTTGAAGAAGTGACGGTTAAGTGACAACAATAAAACAATTTCTAATTTTTATATTATGTTTCAAAACCCGGTACAATTAAATCCTATGACAATAGCATTTGAGGTTTATTACATAAAATAATGCAAAGAATTTTGTCTTACAGTGTTAGTTACTCATCCATCTTGTTGATCAAATAACCAAAAAACGTATAATGGAATTATTCGAAATGGATTCCAATCAAAATAATTAAATTATTTCCTATATTTCTATTGTGTTTTTTTAAAGAAACTGTAAGAAAACTAAATAATTCGGAACTCCAAGCAATTCCATAATACATCCTGGAATATCAAAATACTAGAGAGACTACCTATCGTGTCTAATAGAATTTCCGTGACCGTAGCGCCTATATCTATATTTTGGTCAAATACATGATATTTTAATATTTAATTAAAAATATCTGGATGACTCACAAATGTTTTTAATGGTACTTCATAACTCTTCATACGAAATACAAACGATATATAAACTTTGTTGAATTTAGATCCGGTTAGTTATTTCGGTCAAATACATGATCCAAAAAAGAATGATTAATTGTAATTAATAGAATGACACAAACCTTTTTATTTGCACTTCAAAACTCTTCATATGAAATATAAACGATTTAAAGTGATAATTTTTACAACCAGAGATTTTGTCCAGTCACATACATACGAATAGCAGGCTTTGCTCAAAATCTGTTTCCGCAGGTTTGGCTATCAGAGTTAAATTAATATTAATGAGAAATACATTTACTGCACTTATGAAATGATCATTGTGGATAAATAGGGCTCTCCTCTGCAGTGCAAAGGCAGCATTTTGTAACTATTTTAAAATAACTAATTTTCTCTTGTACCTCAACCACGCTTTAAGCTGCTCTATCACACTCAACTGTCTCTCTATTTTTCTTTTTTTTTTCCTCACCTCATTTTCCCTCCACTCTTTTTCATGAGAGAGAGAGAAAACTATACAACATCCTTTCCTATCTAATCTTCACGTTTCAAACCTCACGCTCGGTCTATTTTTATTATGTCTGTGGGTAATACATACTCTTAGACTGGTATTCATAGTCGAGTCTTATTTCAAGACTTCTTAAGTTTCAAGACCGTCTTAAGTAATGTCTTAAGACGCTAATGCAATTCTCTGAGTGGTTCGTGACTTCTTAAGACTGTATTGTTCGTGACTACTTTTAGGTCTTGAATATATTAGGTGTTGGAATTAATTCGTAGCGTTTTTAATGAAAGAATGTTATTTATTTCACATGAGCATTAAAAAATACATTAATGAAAGTACTTCCCATCACTTGTAAAACGCTACGAATTAATTCCAACACCTAATAAGATCTAACTATGAATACCAGCCTTAGAACATGCATATTGTAAAGGGTCTCACCGTATCTGATCAATGTAATAAAAGTGTCTACAACATCTATCTGTCCTTGTCTGAAAACTTATTTACTTTATGCTTGCGCGTGATTTATATGTAAGTTTTGAACGTACCTGTGTATGTCTAAGGCGAGAGCGGAGAAAATACAACACTTTTAAGGCACAATTTCAGGCAGCGAAGCTTTGCTGGCAAAGGCTCCCCACTCCGCCGTAAACAAAGCGTTCAACGCTCTTCGCTGAAGCCCTCTTACCTTTTCATGGAGCGAAGTTTCGCTGACAAAGTTACTCCCACTACGCCACTATAAAGGAGCGTTCAACAGATTCAAAAAATTAACCAATCAAAAAACGCTTCGAAAGATTTGGCCAATCAAGTGAACTATAGCTAGAGTCAGCGTTGCTTCGTCCAGTTGAACAATATTGAACTTTGAGCGAAGCTTCGTTACTTTTGCTATGCATTTTTGCACGAATCGACGGAGTGGGAAGTCTTTGCCAGCGAAGTTTTACTGCATGAAATGGCATCTTTAAACACTACATAATAATAATCGACGCATGCGTATTACAATGAAGACAAATAGATGTTGAAGACATCGACAGTCATCTATAGCCCTTCTAATATGTATATTCTAAATACATACTTTAACATATTCTACAGATATGCGAGGATACAGCTACAATATTTATGGATTGTGGAGAAACGCAAAAAAGCGCAGCTACGAGCATTACGAGGAACGTGCATTACGATGTTAACTCGCACAATCAGATTAATTTTTTCTGCGTATATTATACACGTTTTTTCCACAAACTTCGGGTGCATTCATTTAAACAATTATTGCCTCGAATTTCGTTTGTTTATTCTACCTATGAAAACGGCTGCAGCGTAATTTGTCGTTCACGCAAGGATGTATATCGTCCGCGCAATTATCTTGGAGATCCTGCTCGAGATGTTCTGCTCGCAATACTATGTAAACGAATGACAAGTTGCGCTACAATCGCCTTCATAGGTTAGATGTCTTGCTGTTCATAGGTTATATTCTGAAAATTGTCGAAAATAGTCTTTTTAGTTACAAAATTGGTAGCGCTGTAACTAACATTGATTAGGCTGGATTTTCATTTGACGCTCATTTCAGCGTCAAATCAGATCATGTGAACAAAATTGATGAATATTAAACGTCAATTTTAATCACGTGATCTGATTTGACGCTAAAAATGAGTGTCATAGCGTCAAGTGAAAAGCCAGCCTTACAGCAAAGAGAAACCTGGGGTGCCATCACATGAAGCGTAACCTGCGTAAATGTAATCTGCATATTCTAGTAATATTAGAATACATTATATTGGGTCATCTAAAAAGTATCCGCGGTTTTTTGTCACTAGATGTGTTGATCATCAATACTATCTAGTGACAAAAAACCGCGGATACTTTTTGATCCGCTCATATACGCGATGGAAAGGTGCCGATTCCCCATGACACATACTTTTCGAGATGTAGATTACGAAAATCAATCATAAATTTATTTAGCATTTCTGTTAGAGTATACAACAGAAATTCTGATCAGCAACTGATCGCATTTTTTAAATCTTCTGTGAAATACGCCCAATAAATCCCAGCTTTCAGAATGGTATATTTTAATAAATAAAATATTGGGTCATCTAAAAAGTATCCGCGGTTTTTTGTCACTAGATGTGTTGATCATCAATACTATCTAGTGACAAAAAACCGCGGATACTTTTTAGATGACCCAATATTTTATTTATTAAAATATACCATTCTGAAAGCTGGGATTTATTGGGCGTATTTCACAGAAGATTTAAAAAATGCGATCAGTTGCTGATCAGAATTTCTGTTGTATACTCTAACAGAAATGCTAAATAAATTTATGATTGATTTTCGTAATCTACATCTCGAAAAGTATGTGTCATGGGGAATCGGCACCTTTCCATCGCGTATATGAGCGGATGATCGAATGAATAATTAAAATCAAAAGTCTTATGAGACTACTCTTAAACTTATTTGACACTTATTTTTATATGAAACGAAAGAATCTGGCAAAAAAATGCGTCGCTCTGCCCTGTGATCCGAGATATTAAGCGTTAAAGTTGATGACTATTGAAGTTATGAAATCTGTCACATCAAAAATGAGGTCTATAATTATACTGCTCCACATGGGTTTCGACTGGTTTAGACTTTCCACATGATGCAAAGGAACGCACAACTTCTATAATTGTACTGTTGCAAAATCAAAATCCATATGCATTTTTTTCAGACAGAATAAACTAAAGAGCTGGGATTTAGTAAAGTCCTAGATATCAGAGAAGCGCAACCGAGCTTATTTAAAGGGATCATCTAAAGAAAAAAATAGCGGTCTGTGTTTACATCTATTATTTTTTATACGGAGTATGATTCTTGTAGTGTTTCTAAATTATAAGGAGATATTGGTCTTTTAGAGACTGTAATATTATCAAGATTTAAAAATTCTGAAATCCATAGGTTAGGAAACAGAAAAACTTTTATTGTTGGACTTAGCCATTTTGACGCTAACTCTCCAGACTCCAATATTGCATATTTGTGAACAATATGATGATAAAATATATTTTATTTAAGAGACAGATTTTAAAAATAAATCTTTTCATCCTTTAAAGATTAATAATGAATTTCTAGATGAAAAATAGAAAGAGATCTAACAATAGCTAATACTGAAAAAGTAAATTTGGATCAACTTCTAAGGAAAGAAGCAAAAAGAAATGCAGAAATTATAAAAAAATTAAAAAACGAAAACAGAACGAAAGACATAAAATTAAATCTTATTTACGAATTACTGTATTTAGAATCTACTCAACGTAACAAAAAAATAAGAATAATTAATTCTAACCTCTCACATTTCGAAATTACTAAATTGCTAGCAGTATTAAAGGAAAGGATCAAATTATTCTGATAAGCTCAAAAAGAATATCCGAATTGTATATAAAGTAAACAAAAAATGAAATTTTATTTCTTTTTAACAAAATTGTAATAATTGTAACAATATTGAAAAATAAAAAATTACATATATGTGAAATAAAAAATAATAAATAAAATTTCATTTGCCTGTAATAAAATAATAGTGTAATTGTAATAAAATAGTGAAGCTTATAATTTTTTAGTCACAACTATTTAAAAACTTAAATTTATTTCTTACAACTTTTCTGCCTGCACGGCCATTTTTTATTACTTCTATTAATACTTTCGTTAGAAAGTTGCTGCTTTTTTAACATGCTATATTAGTTTATTCTTAATTGAAAATAATACCGTAATATCTACAAATATTGTAGCAATTTGGACAGAAGTATCACTCTACACATATGTCAATCCATTTATAAAATATTCGAATACATTATGCTGAAATGAAATAGTTTGATCTCGCATTTCACGAATTGTTATTTCCGCTCTTAAAATAGCTTTAAAGCATTCAGACATTATTTGACGTACATTATTGTCATCTCCAGACAACATATTATATTCTTTCAAGAGTATAATTATACTTAAAGGATGCGGTTCTGAATGTTACCATCTAACAGCATTAAAACAAGCATCGCACATATTGGTTAGTATTTTTAGTTAGTAATACACTGCTATATCATATATGACTGCTATTTCCCATTCATCTATTATTTTGCAGTCTTCATCCGTGAGTTGATGAATGGGAACAGCCATTTCTGATAGATCTAATCCTACATTTGATTGAACCATTTGCTGTATCTTCTTGGCAGTAATTTTTAAAAAGTCTGTAAAAGATTCTTCTTCCTCAAAATCATAATTTAATCCTCTTACAGCGACGGAATACTGTGCTAAAATAACTTTTAAATTTTGAATAAATGCTATTGCATTTGGTACCGGTTATTCTTGTCATATATTTGAAAATAAATTTTCAACACAATCTTGATTGTGTTGAACACGATCCGGAAGAAAAAAAAGAGTAATTTCTTTCATTTAAAAGATAATCTTGTAGACCCATAAGACTCAAACACACTCCAATGCTTCTTTGGCAAAGCTTCCATGATCCTGTGTCACCAACTTCCATGTTGAAAAATAAGTGATTTATTTTTTGGATAAGATTCAAAGCTTTATTATATGCAGTTTCGTTGGAACGACTCAAAGCTAGCTATGATGTCTTACTGTTATTAATTCGAAGAAAGCATTTATTGTTTCGACAAACAAGTTTTCCAATTATTATTTTCAACATCTGCTAATCTTTTAAGTCCGACGCTTGTGTGTGTGTGTGTGTGTGTGCGCGCGCGCGCGCGTGCGTGCGTGCGTGCGTGCGCGTGTGTGTGTATGTGTGTGTGTTGTGTGTGTGTGTGTGTGTGTGTGCGCGCGTGCGTGCGTGCGTGCGTGCGTGCGTGCGTGCGTGTGTGTGTGCGCGCACGCGCGCGCGATTACAAAATACAGCCCATGAATTAGATACTTTCATTTTTGTAAATTGTTTGTTAGTGTATATATTATCTTCTTTCAAGCGAAATGTTTTTAATTCAAATTTGAATCAAAATAATAAAGATGTGCTATATCCTTATAAACCAATGTCCGAAAGCAATTTTTCTTCTTCCATTATATCTTTTGGTATTTTTATTATTTTACTTTTTCAAGCAATGATTTTATTACTTGAAAATATAGGCTGCATCTGGAAAAAAAATAACTGCACCACAACGAACAGGATGTGGAACGGTAGACTTGATGTATCCGCGTTGCTTCAATATCAAAAGCCCTTACGTCCCGAATGAGGATACTGAGCTAGGATGAGGTAGCATGGACAAGCGACATGTCCTGGCAAATTCAAATTAAAGTTACAACTATTATATTTAGTTAGAGATGACAAAATGAGTCCATAGCGGAAACTTACGGAGACTCTTCTCGGTAATAATTGAAGCTTTGGTTCAATTTACATAATGTTGAAATCAATTTACTTAATGTTGACTCGATGTTAACGTAATAATCATGAAACATGAAGGTTAAAGTAATGTTAGATTGGTTGACGAAGTGGCCATATACTTTTAATTTGTCGAAATGATAGATGAAACTGATCAAGAAAATGATTAAGGAGAAAGGAGGGCATCGCTCTCGATATAATTTACTAAAGTAAATTAAAATAGCTGTAAGATGAAATAATTATTACATTAAATAAATCCAATAATAATGACAGAACATAAAATGACAGTATGTGTGGAAATATGTATAAATTGCGTATATTTATTCAATAGTGGATAGTTATTATGGGCTGTGATAATTGAGCATTATAAAAAGATTCAGCTGATATATTAAATGAATACAATAAAATAATTCGTCTCTGACGATTCAGATTTACAATCTGATATAGTTGGAATAGTAAATATAACGCAATAATGTGTAGACGTAGTAAGATAATTCAAGAAAATTCTGAAATATCTGAATTCTTTAAAACTATTATCTATCTAACAAAAACCTTGATTTTTACTGTGTTTGAAATGTCGAATTTTGTGTTAACCAAGCAGTATTTGCGGGAGGTTCTAATTTTCAGCTTTAATTGGAAGAAAAGTGCAGCTGAAGCCCATCGAATACTTGTCGAAGTTTGTGGTGACACTGCTCCAACTGATAAATCATGTAGGGTTTCGACGTTTCAAGGATGGAGATTTCAGCGTTGAAGATAAGCCTCGTTTTGGACAGCCAAAAAAATTCGAAGCCAAAGAATTAGAGGCATTACTCGAAAAAGATCAGAGTCAAACGCAAGAGGAGTTTGCAGAATCATTGGGAGTAACTCAACAAGCCGTTTCTGCACGATTGAGAGCCATGGGAATAATTCAAAAACAAGGAAAATTGAGTGCCTTATGAACTGAAACCGAGTTGAAAGACGATTTTTCACTTGCGAACAGCTGATTCAAAGACAACAAAGAAAAGATTTTTTGCATCGGATTGTGACTGGAGATGAGAAGTGGATATTCTATGACA